CCTACGAGCAGTGGGTGGGCCAGCTGACCAGGTCCGACCTCTCAGCCCAGCGGAGCCTGGTGGAGAGGGCCCGGAAAGCCAGCGCGGACCAGGGCTTCCCGGACTAGAGGAGGCCCCCACCGGGCGGGCCCCCAACCATCAGCGCCTGAAGCTCCATTTATTAAAAGTTTATTCCTCCTCCTCAATCGGCAACAGGAGTCGCGCGCTTGATGGAATTGTACGACGCGCTGGAAACATGTCCGAATCCAACAATAACCTCTAAGATTCATCTCGGTGCGCAATTCTGTTCGGGACAATTTATATATATATTTTTTGCCTCCCCTCGGTCGTGTGGTGACAGGGCTACTCGATTGGGCTGTCAGTAGCCAAATTGGGCAATTTGTTTGTGATTTGAATCAGAATTTGGTAATAGGCGAAAAAGTAACTGGATCGTGGAAAAGTAACGCCAAGCTAGCTCCCCGTATGGTCGCCATTTTGGCTCTTGAAATGACCATTTTCTCCTTGACCTCTCTATTCTTGGTGAGCCGATCTAAATTCGCTGGTGACGGGCAGCTTTATAGAGACGTTTCATACACATCGAAATTTTGCTATCCACACACAGGCGAACCAAGCGTACATCTTCGTACCGCCACCACATGCTGTGTCAGTGCTTGGAGGCACTGAAAAGTAATCTTCCTGTTTTTAAATACCGAAGAAAACCGATATAATTGTAAGAGATCCGTGGAGATGGACATGATTGATGAGTTGATTGCATGCACAGTGCCAAAGACGCTTGTATTGGCAAGGAACGCCTTCAGTGCGATGATGCTCCATGGTGATCGTGGTGCGACTGGATTAGAACGACCCTCTCGAAGTATCGAAGATATGAAGGGGCCGAAATGGCGATTCTCATAGCAACGAAGACCGATTAGTCAATCGCCTTGCGAGGTTTTGGTCCTCTGTATGTTACTAGTTGTTTGCGTTCGGCTAGCAGGCAGGGAAGTCAATGGCGCTACTTTCCCAAGGTCCGGCGACTTTAATAGTCATAGCGTGGGTTACTTTTTGAGCGCTTTCAAATCGTTGCTTGGAATAGGCAGCAAATACTCTCAAATAAATTTTGGCTGGCAAAAACATAAGACGAGATTATATCTTAAATATACAAGATATAATCAGGCTCAGGAAGCAGTTTAAGAAAAAAACACGCACAAAATTGTCCCACCGATTGCATTGAGCTGGCAGAGCACCTCTTGAATGCTGCCTTTCTTCTTTATGCGGAGCGTAAGTTTGTCTGCTTCTTGCACAGAGGTCGCGATGATGCCAGAACGCCGAGTTCTTATTGGCTGATTGAAAAAATAGTGGGTAGAAGTCAAGGCATCTGGCATTGAGGTCTACCCACTATCCTTTCAATCAAAGCCGTTCAGAACTCTGTGTCGTTCTGGTGATCCCCGCAACTCCTGCGCAAGAAGCAGACCACTGAATCTCCGCATTGAATAGGGACCCCTTAGGTAGCCGTATACATAGCTCGAAAGTGTCGCCATTGCTGGCTACTGAATGTTATTTTTATTTACTGGTCTCTTCGAACTACAGCTTCTACGGTGTGAAAACACGGCGAACCGAACACTCGCGGCGCATAGAATACTGGCGTGGCCGCCAATGACGTCCCATGCAAGTTTCACGGGGCGCAGGTGCTCTCGAATGACGCGCGCTCAGCTGTGATCAACGTTGGCTGTGGTTGCGCGCCCTCGTGTCGGGCGCCCTCCCGCCGGCGGTCTCGTGTCGTGCGCTCTTGAGCATAACCCCCTCTATACTGACAAAGGCCTGGCAGATCGCCATAAGACGCGGCCGCCGAAAGTGAAACACACTTGTCCCGAGCGATGGAATGTCCGCTCGTGCTTCACGCGTTCCCCGGGCTAGCGCTTCTTTTCTCGTCGGGTTTGGAAAGCATGTTTCGGGTCCTCGCCGCTGCAAAATCTGTGCGCTGACTACAGGCTCCCCGAGAAATGCTCTGTGTTATACCAGATCCTCGCGCTCCGAATCTGCGACCGGGCACTTTATGGCTCCGCCATTGAATTGCCAGGGTTTGCGATGTCTTGAGTTCTGCAGCCCTCAAGAAATGGCGACTGCCAGTGTTCCTGGATGGGTCTTTTGAAGAGCGCACATTGTGTCATTTCTTCTCGAGTTATCCAGTTAAGGCTGTACCGCGCACGCGCATGCGTTCCGTCTTATAGTTATGAACTTTTTTCAGGGGAGATGTCTAAAAATAGGCTACTGCATTTAAGAAGAAACCTGGAAATTAGTATATACTGTGCAGCCAACGTGTCTTTTCGGGCCGAGATGCGCCCGAGCAGAAAGCGCGTCTCGTGGCGTCGCTCTCTTTCCTCGCCCCGCCGGCTTGGTCTCACGGCGTGGCGGTTTACGCGGAGCTTATTCCATTCGGCCGGCCAATATTCCCCGGACCGCGCGTCCCACGCACATAATAATCCGGCCGCATTTTTACGATCGCGGCGGCCAGATTGGGAAGGGCGTTCCCGGCGGCCCCACACGGCAAACAGCCGCCACCCGCCGACCCCGCGAGACACGGCGGGCGCCACCACCGCCACCGCGCCGACCCTATACGAGAACGCTGTCATTAGCGGGGAGTCATCTCAACCCCCCCTCCCCCCAACGCACACACAACCCTTCTGCCGCACCAAGATGCCGGGCCCCGCACGCGTAACGTCGCGGCCTGTTTTTCGAGCGAGCAGTGGCCTGTAGTCCCGTGGCAAACAGCGGCGCAGTCATAAAGCGCGGGAGCAGGCTGTCCTCATGAGGTACACATCCCTTCACCTTACCATGGACCAGGGCGTAGCCGGGGGGGGGGGGGGGGGGGGGGGGGGGCTTACGGGGCTTCAGACTCCCCCTTACGAAATCCAGCCGACCCTATAATATACACATGCATTTTGTCCCCTCCCCCCCCCCCCCCCCCCCCTTCCTATCCGCACCCCAAGACATGGACATCCCAGCCACCTCAGGAGCCCGCGAAAAAACTCCTGGCTCCGCCACTGCTATGGACCATAGTGTACAGTGCGAGTCATCGAAGGCTATCGGTGTGAGTGTCACGTGCCCCTTTGGGACGCGTATGCCGCGTAGTCACGTGATAGGGTTCGGAGCAGGGGATTGGCTCGTAGCGTCCGTTGTGGTTCATCTTGACGTGAAACGGAGCACTGCACACAGCGTCGCCTACGCCCGGGGCTGAGCGGACGACGCCCAACTGGCATCCCTCCGGTGCGTGCGTCGAAAACCCCACAGCGCGGTACGTGCTGCAAGGGGGGTCGGGGGACGTCTCGCGGCCCGGCCGGCTCGACCCTGGCGACGCTTCCAGCGCAGTCCACCTCAAAAGACGGATGAATGAACTTTTTTGAACGGCTTGCGCCATCCAGCCAAAGCTTCTAGCCTCGGCTACTAACTAATCTTTGATTCAATTTTGGATTAATGTAAAAATGATAAAGAATCACATATCGCTGTTAAACCCGAACATTATTTTCGTAAAAAGAAAAAGACCTATTGTTTTTTTTTTGTAGGAGATTTGCTTTTAAACTTTCTTGGTAAGATACTCGGAAAATGCACCTGTAGGACTGGGACGAGGGAAGCCTCATACTTATAAAACCCCGAGACAAAAGGAAAAAAAAACGAAGAAAAAGGAAAATGGATAATACATTGATGTCTATTTGAGGCGTCGTCGTGTTGTCCCCCCCCCCCCCCCCTTTTTTTTAATGCGAAATCATTAATTGTTTTATGGAGCAAACTGACGTCATCAGCTTTGAAGCCGCGCCATACGGCCCCTTCCCCTGTCCCAGTGTCGTCTGTAGCAGAAATCTGATCGATAGGCTCCATTGGCTGGCGCGCGTCATCAAGGAACGGGGCTCCCATTGGATCTCGTGCGGCTTAGTTTTAAAAAAGGCCACAAGAGAAGTCCTCTCCATAGCGGCGCAGCGCACGCAGCGGCCCGGCCGCCGGTAAGAGGTGCGACGGTGCGGGCCTTGCCGCACAGTCCGCCCGGGCAACCTCCGGAGAGGCTGGACGGCCGAGCTCAGCGCGGCGCGGCCACTTGACAAGAGCGCGCGCTCGTCCGTCGGCAGCAACCTCCGCAGTAGGGAAACGTGGCCGTCCACGCCACTATACGCCGCATACGAACTATTTTGTATTCCCAATTCATAACAAGTGCTTAGGTGCCCTCGGAATTTTTGTTTTCTTACCGCTCATCAGCATAGTCTGGGCGATTACCCTTATTTCGGGAGAAGCTTCTTCGTGCTAAGTCGAGGGGCGAAATATAAGCCGCAGTGAGCGCAAGGGCGATGATTCGGGAGTACAATCTAGGTCACCATAGTTCAAAGGAGCCATCAGTATCTAACGTGTTCATTCGAAGGAACGTTCAAGCTTACTCGTGCGACGCCGACGCAGCATCGTACCGAAAAACTCCCAAACCGGGAATTGGGAAAAAGGGTACAGGGATCGCATTTTCGACGTCTTCCACGTTTTTATTAGACTCTAAGTGCACTTGCAGCGAAAGAAACACCCGCGCAAGATAGATTTACTCTGAGACGAAAAAAAAAATTATATAAACGAAAACAAGAAAAAATGATAATGTGGAATGAAATACGCGGGTCAAAACAAAAACAGAAGCCCCGTTGATTTTTTTTTTTCTTCTTTTTTTCATCTCTCCGGTCTAGACACTCTGCCCGGCTACGGTTCCTGTAACGCGTCTTCGATGGGTCCGTTTAGCATTCCCTTCCCGTCCGTGCATCGAAAGCGGTCCCGCGAAGCAGCAACAAATCGCGTCGCACTAGCCGCCCTGTCATCGCTGTCGGACGTCGCGATCCTGGCGGTTAGTCGTAAAAATGCTTGCGAAAAAGAACGAAGGAGCGCAGTGTTCCAAGTCGTGTCTGCTTTTGTATACCCACCGACTCCTGGCCACAGAGCGACCTTCCTTGCAGCAAAACAGGCGTCTGCCTTCATCTTCCTCCCCTGCTCTACCACCGCTAGGATCGCGACGGGCAACAGCGTGACACTTCTGCGACGTCATCGGGCGGGAACCGAGGGACCACATTGTGAGGACGCGGTCAACCGATTACCACCTAGAAGACAAGGCCTGCGCGTGACGTCATCGTTAGTGGATGCCCGACCCGCCCCAAGCGGCAAAAACGTTGAGACTCGTCCAAAGTTGCCGCCTGGTAGCGTTGCGTCCGCTGCGAGACGCAATGGCGGCGATGCTGACCCAAGCTGGGCGACTCTGCGTGGTTCCACTAGTGATGACGTTTAATGTGAGGGGGGAAGGCGCGAGCCTCGTCTTCTAAGTAGTATTGGGTATTACGTAAGCACACCAGTCGAAGACGCGCCCCAGTCACCACCGTAGCCCGACTTCCCAAGAAACTATACGCGAGAGGCCGCGAGAAGGGCGGGGCGCGAACCACCGCGAGTTGTGTCCGTCCCCTGCGCGCCCCATCGCAGCTCCCGGGCCGATGTTGGGCGCGTGCCCGGCGCGTGCCCGGCGTGAGAGGTTCACCGCGCGGGCCCCGCGGGGGGCCGTCCGCTGCACTCGGGTCCCATTGCACGTCCTCCGTCCGGCCTGTCGGAGCTCCCGGCTCTAGGAGTACGCGTCCGCCGGGAACGGTTGCAGCTGGGGCTCGCTCTTCATTTCCCTGCAAAGCAGACGAAAGCCACGGACCGTCGAGCGTCTCCCGAAAACATAACCGACGAGACACGCGTGACAATGGAGGGTTTTAAGCAACGGTCACTCCGCTAATACATGGCACAAAAACTTGTCTGTGCAGACACTGTCTGCGGCATGTTTCCTCCTTGAATAATGGTCACACTGGCCGTACAAGAACGGTCTGGAGACATGCCATCATGTAAGTTCATCCGTGGTTCGAACGCCGCGTGCCCAAGTTTTCTCCTTGAACTCATTGCCACGCGGCATTCGAAGCACGGATCTCGTGGTGACCCGCGGTCGAATCTGTGTGCAGACTATCTTTTGTGTGATGTATCATCCGATAACGATGCCCGATACTCCAGAGACGCCTTTGTGTACGCATCGTATCATTCTCAAGTTTCGCTATCGGAGGTACTGGACGAATCGATACCAAAACTTCCTAATATGGAGTATTCGTAGACCGCTAGCCCCCCTCGGTTACGCTCTCCGCAACGAAGACGCCGCAACTGCGCATGCGCGCCGCTAGCCTTGCCTGCCTGAATAGTTGAGGATCTCGTATAGTGGGTTCCGGAGTTTGTGGCGGAACGGGTGAAACGGTCTAGGAAAACTCCGTAATAGGGCGTTTTGGTGGATCTCCGAAAAACTTCAACGGCCATACCCGACAAAGATACAATGCATGTGCAAAGGCGCCGGGGAAAACTCTCTAATGTCGTTTATTTTCCGCCGAAAAGTTCCCGACCGGAACTGAGGACCAAGAAAACAAAAGTTGCACCATGCAGCATGACAAGCAGTTCTTCACCTCCACCCTAAACAACTACAAAAAAAAAAAATACAATCAAGCACGGCAATGGTTATTTTAACAACAGCCCGTGGCAGGCTAAGAAACCGAGTTGAACCTCCAGCACGGGCTCGTCGACGTCCGCCGGGCCTGGACCGTGCGTACGAGGAAATGTTCTCAACAGCAGAATGCTCGATTGCTCGTTATCGAGGTGGAGCGTCTAGTAGAGCCTGTCACCGACTATAGTTCGGAGGTCGATATACAACGCATCTGGACTATCGTATTTAGTGTCAAACCTGCGCACATGGTTCAAGCATTCTTGGCCAAAATCATGACGCATTGACAAATAATTAGGCTGTGTCTGGGCTTAATCCGAAACGAAGTATATACGAGTTGGTTAGGCCCCGTTGAGCGCGCTTCTTACCGAGCACCGGTGCGCTGCGGAGAAGCAACACCCGCGAAAACGAGCTCTGTGGGAGTTGCTTCTCCGCATTGCACCGGTGCTCGGTAAGAAGCGCGCTTCACGAGGCCCATCCGCCGCGGTCGACACTTTGAAAAATACGAATATCAGAGTTCATCTCCGAGCGAATATTGAATAGCGTATTACACGAAGTTATTATTTGAAAATTGAAATATCCGCACGAGACTAGACAAATTATAACAATAGTTAAAATAGCAGGAAGATATTTCCCCTCTACTTATTAAAATACACTCCAGCAACAAGAGACGGATGTAAAGTACGTTTAGACAACGGGAAGCTATTCAGCCCCAGTGTGTGTCTGGTGCCTCCGCTGTACACTTTTAATCTGGTTTCGTGTAGGTTCCAGTTAAAGTAACGTTCCGCATTTTCTCTCTGTAACGAGTTTTTTTTTATTTGAATCGAGGATTATACGCGAAACGCCAAGGTAGTCTACATTTTTTGTTTGTTTTTCTTTACCTGCATTACGCAGGTGCTACGTGAATTGCTGTTCTAATTACATGCTGTTCTACTTACCCTGTTCCACTTAAGCGCCAATCTGCTCCAGTAAAACTTATAGAAGGTGTCTTTTTTTTAGATTTATCGTCTGGAATTGTTAATTATCCGAAGCACTTATGTATAATATCTATGAAATATTTACAATTGTCGAAAACACTGAACTGCACAAACTAGTGCATCTGGTACTGGATAACAGAGGCTGATAAACCTGGCGATCTTCCAGAGCCTTCCACACTCTCGAGCTCTTCTCCCCCGTGCGCCCCAGTGGTCGAGCTCCTCCTCACCTAGCCGTCTGTTCGTATGACCTCCCCGTCAACCAATCAGCGTCGAGCCTCGCGGCCACGCTTTGATCCAGGCTTCACAAAATGCCGAACTCCTAAGCAAAAAACGTTTCACGTTAAGCAAAAATATATATTGTGATTTGTAATTTGGGTTTACATAGTCCAGGTGTTTTTATCAATGTGTGAAACCAATTTTGAGGCAAATCAATGACTATCGAAATTTCGCCGGAGCTCTCCTAAAGCCGCGGGAGGTCACACTGTCTGAGGCGTTCCTTGCATTACATGCCCTGTCACGTCCTGTCAGACATTTTTCGAAGCAATATGAACGAGGCAAAGATGCGTGGTGCGTGTCCGCGGATATTTCTGCCCTCATGTCTGCAGAGAAACTCCGTGATGTGTGAACGTGGCCGAAGAGGGCGAGGAGGAGGAGGTACCTGTGCAGCAGCTCGTCCCGCTTCTTGGCCTGCTTGCGCTCCTTGGCGCGCCTGTTCTGAAACCAGATCTTGACCTGGCGCTCGCTGAGTCCCAGCAGCGCTGCCAGCTCGGCCTTGCGCCGGATCGTGATGTAGCGGCTGTAGTGGAACTCCTTCTCCAGCTCCAGCCGCTGGTGGTCGCTGTACACCACGCGGTACTTGTCCTTGGTCCGGGTCTTGCCTGCAAGGACAAACGTCGCTCCAATTAGTCCGCCTGTTTTTTTCAAACGTTGGCGTTTTTTAGTAGTTGCTGGGACAATCATTAGAGTCCGTCATCGTTTGGGAACGTACTCTGATCTTGTATTGGACACGAAAGTTCCCTAGCATGCAACAGGGTATCCTCGAAATTGCAGCGAAATGTATAAAAAAAGCGGCCGGACGATATAGGCGGTTCTTGCGGTGGCCTTGCTGCTGTTTGCGTACTTTCTTGAACACAGGTTTCGCATCACCGAATTCGTTTTCTTCCGCAAGAATAGAAATGACTTCCAGCAGAACCTAAATGCGCTGTATACGAAAAAGTAACGACATTTGTTGAAAAGCACCACTAACTATCATGGGACGATCATGATGGCGCTCTAGTGTGGGAAAGCAAAACTAAATAAACGAGTGCGGGCGGCGGCAAAAGAGGAGGAGGAGAGAGGGTAAATGCCTATGCCAAGTACTTTACCACGAAAATACATTCTACGCCGCTCATTGGCTATTAAATATATCGGCATGGAGAGTGTTCTCCTACTTATGGCAAATAAGAGACTTTTCGTAGACGCTAGGACTCTACATTATTAGCGCGAGCGTTTGCTGTCACTTTGACCACAGATTGAGCTGGCGGCCATGCACAAGACCAGAAATCCGCAGCGTATGCGATATACGAAAAGTCTCGAATGAAATTAGACATCCCGGTCTTTCGTGCAAGGCTGTTGCAAGGCGGAGCGCAAAAATTTCTATTTTAACGCGCTCGATTTTTTCGTTAAAACGGCTTCACGCATCAAGGCCGACCGTCCCTGCCTCCGTTTCCGAGCCGCCGCTGCCGCTGCCGTCCCCGCTCCTCTGGTTCTCCGTTCGTTCGCGAGAGGGCGAGCGGCCGGCTGAAGTTGCGAATACGAGAAGTAACTCTGAGCTCCAGTTTCATGAAAGTAACACACATATTTTCCATATTTTTATTCAGATGAGGCCATTGATAACCATAGCAATCGTTCACACAGTAAAACTGAGGAGAAACTACTGCGTGCAAAGAGGTATCATATTACGGACTAAGGATCCAAAAACAGATCATGCAGCCATTGGCCACTGGGAACTTTATCTACTTTATTGTCCTGCGGCACTATATGCTCCTCTCTCTTCCCCTTTATCTCCATCTCTCTCTTTCTCTCTCTCATATATATATATATATATCCGTGACTTATATCTAGAATAAAACATATTCAAACATTCCCTTTCTGCGTGATAGTGTTCTGCGAATAGCAACAATCATTTCCTCGCGAAGATCACGATATAGCGCAATAGTTGCCGGAAGTAGCAGACGACACTTCTCGCTAGTTCTGGCAAAGCGGCCAATAGAATCTTTTTTTTTTTCATTTCCCCGTTTGCTGTTAAGGATAACGGGGTTCGCTTCAACCAGCAAAATATGGCCGCCAATGCCTGTTTACTCAGCAGTCATGCCTGTCGCCATCCCACTCGCTGGCGTCACGGGCGATAATATCAAGCACATAGAGGCACACCGACAGACAGCAGAACATCTCAATACTCGAGCCCCGCGTAAATGCAATAAAGCGTAAACACTGTCGTCATGTTAACCTAGTAAATCCCCCCCCCCCACACACACACACGCACCGGGGGACTGCAGTACGCGACGGCGTACTAAAATAACGGCGACGATATCGACATTTGCCTGGCGTATTCGCACCGGAGTAAAGGGCTGTCATCTGCTTGAAAGCGGCCAATTGCGGGCTGTGAATTTTCCCATGGATCTACTCCACGTGCATTTCTCCTTAGGCTTCCGGTGTTGTGTATGCTCGTCTGGAAGGATTTCAGGCGCGTAGTCAAGATAAGACGGTTCTCCGCGGCAAAAGAAAGCAACGTCACTTAAAGGCGGCGGCGACGCGCGTGCGGTGAACGCTTGCAGTTTCGGTGTTGACAGGGTGTATGTGTTTTCGTTGTTGACACCAGCCGGCGATGAGGCACTGTAGGCGGTAGCTCAGGACATCAAAAGCTAATTTGAGGGGCCATCAACATGCCTCGTCCTGTCTGCTTCTCTCCTTGTGTCCTCGTTGTTTTGGCGCCTCACTTCAAGAATAACCCCACCGCCAACCCCCCGCGCACCAGGAGAAGGCATGGCTCAGGCTGTGGCATGAACCACGTGGTAGAACTCAGTAGGAGCTAGGGTGCCTTCATATCAGCGCGTCGATAGGGCGACGGTACAACTCCGGAAAGTCTTTACCGAAGGTCGCTGGTAAGCATTTTTTGGTCTGTAGACCTTCCCTCTTTCTTTCTTTGGTGTGGATCGAACTTTGCTGACTGCCTCAGTTGTGACCTCTCTTTTCAAATGTACGTTTGCAGTGAGTGAGCTCCTCACCCTCGGACTTAAGACTGTCACTATTCAGTATTTGTTTCACTTGGCAATTATAGGCCATCGGTTGTAGTTTAATTTCTATTATTTATGTGTACGTTATGAAGACGTTCTGGAGCTCCGAACGAGTGTTTTGTGCAGATTACTTTTGCATGCACAAAAAGAGCATACCAAAGCAGCGAAATTTTCCAAGTGTCGGCGAGCTGGACCTAAACTTTTTGAAGTAAATTCTTCTACCTGACTGTTCCACCAAAGTGAGTCCGACGGATTACCTCTGCTACAATAACTTCATGCACATCACTAAGGAGATATCGGTACAAAACTCAGAGCCGTGCTCTGACATGTTTGTGCCAGCTGAAAAAGCAATTGAAGGTCCTAATCGTAGCATACTATCTACGGATGTGTCGCCGCTAGGACAACCAAGCGTCGTAAAAAGTCGGGACAGGGCTGCCTATGTCAAAAGAAAGCAAACAGAACTGGAGCAGTTTGCTCCAGTTCGTTTTTAAACCACAGTTTTTTTTTTTTTTTTTTAATGTCGGTGACTGAGATGAATTATGTTATAGGGCGGGTTTATGTTATAAATTACGAAGCGACTTTCACCAAACAGATGTTTTTATCTTTTAAATTTATGTTAAAAAGGACAACAAATGTAACGAGATACCTGGTCTGCCAAAGTATCGCGGTACAAGTGATACATCTTAAATGTATTTTAATGCTGAGATACAAATACTTAAAAGTATCTCTAAGGTACTATTGCGATACATTCGTATCGCGATACTGCCCAGCCCTGCCCTGTTGGAACTTAACCCGATACTGCGGTATGAAATATAAACTTAAAAGCAGTCTCGGATTAAGCTGCAACATGGTAAGCATTCACCAGCTCGCCTGTACTCTAACCATTTTCTTATTATCAGTACCACTGCTAACCTGGGGGTCTTTAACGTACACCACGGAGTAGCGATACACGACCGCACGCCGCTACGATGCGTATCCAGACCGAAACAAACAGGGGTGGGGATTGAACCCAGAATCCCTGGGCTCTACACGCTCCGGCCCCCGAGCTGCCTTTTCTTGACTGTAGGGTCGCCATATGCCCAAGTTCCAACAAACAAAATATTTTTCTTTTTGAGGCATGCGAGGGAAGCCAGAAGAGAAGAAGCCGGCGCCTGCGGGGAAATGCCATCTTGTAGGGAGAGCCAGGGTGATCTCTCCCTGTGTTTCTCCCTTCTTTCGGACCCCTCGGTGGCTGTTTGTGCCACCTCGGGATCTGTCAGCTTTTTACGGCGTTTAGTAATTGTTGGCATTTAGACTTCGCAGTTTTTTTGTTTAAAAAAAAAAAAAAAAAGACGCGCACTGCTGGGCACTTTACCGAAAGGGACGGACGGGCGTTATTTTCATCTATTTTGCTTTGTTTTTTTCCTTTTTCAATTAAACGTTCATATGGGCTAAGAAAACGTTCTTTCCGTCAATTTTCAGATCTATCCGTTTTTCGTTTCCGCTTTAAGGTACTTTTGGCGAAGACGAGGACACGTGTAAACGTAAGAGCTAGTGCGTTAATGAGCCACAAACTGAATGCATGTCAAGGCATCCGCTCTGAGAAGAACATTGAGACACTTCGCTCCAAATGTAAAAAAAAAAAAAAAAACGAAAACAAAGCGAATGCCGTCGTTTGGAAGCGAGTCTGCGATAAAAAACGATTTGCCTGGCGATTTTTTTTTTTTTTTTTTTTTACAGATACGCCTGGTTGTCTTTACGACCAAACTAACCTCCGCCTTTTTTTTTCTTTTTTGCTCAGCACGTTTTTGTAGTTGGGGCGAGGAAGTTGAACGTCTTTCAGCCGCCAAGCAGCCGCTTCTCGCCATTTTTAGGCGGCTTGCGCGCTGCCATTTTTGTCCACCGGGTTGTTTAACACGATCCGAGTACGCGCAGTAGCTTTCTTCTCTTTTGCGGGGACACCGTCATTTTTCGACTAATTAATAACTGAAATAAAAGTTTAAAAAAAAAGAGGGTTACCCTCGCAAACGACTCATGACGAAAACCATCGAGCACCAGCACCATAAACTGTCGCTTCCAACCTCTCTCTTAAACGACCGGAAACGGCTAAAAAACGTCACTTCCGTCATGCAGAAACAAAACCAAGAAAACCGCGCACTGCAGAAACGCCAACGGCCGTTGTCGCGCGCGAGGCGGCGAGCTCTTTCGGGGCATCTGACAGGCGCGGCGCGAGCGCAAAGGAGATGATCCGGGCGGCGGATTAGCTCGCCGCCGATAAGCCACAATGCTATCGGGGCAAACAGCTGGCGCTTTGAACGGGCCGCCCTCTGCGCCGCCGACAAACCGGACGGACGGACGAACGAACCAACGAACGCTTTTGGGCTCCGCGGGAGAAATTTTTCCCGGAAGTTTCCAGATGGTAAGATTACTTTCGGGAAGTAATTGAATGACACTTCTAATTACTTTCATGAAAGCTATACAGACGTAATTAAATTACGTCACCAGTTATACCGCCTACTAAAAATCGTGACATGACGTTACGATTACTTTTCAGGTGTATTGACATTAACATTATACAGCGTGCCCCACAAAACATTTCTTTTTTTTTTTTTTTACTGCACAAA